CCACCATCATCACCAGCATCACCTGCTGCGGAGCTGGAGTCACATCAAGGCCTTGAGGACAGTGGGGGTGCTCATTGGCTGCTTCTTGGTGCTTTGGAGTCCTTTCTTTGTGGTGTGCATTGTGCACCTTCTGTGTAAGGAGTGTGCCCTCAAGGAGGTGCTGGAGAACTACCTGTGGCTCTTGGGGCTCCTGAACTGTCTGATAAACCCTCTGGTCTATGCCTGCTGGCAGAGAGAGGTGCGGCTGCAGCTATCCGACATGTTTTCCTGCATCACAAACAGGCTGCTATCTGCTACACCGCCGAGTGTTATGGAAAGATGCCACTCATCGCCACCTGTGCAGGCTCGTGCTTGTGTTTCTGAAGGAGAAACGCCCAGTCCTTCGATTATGCTACCAACCAGCAGCTTGGATGCCAATGCCTTTCACCCATCTGACACAACCAGTTTGTGATGGAAAGAGGGAAACGCCACAGATATTTAAAACACACTAATAGAGTGACCAACTCTTTGGTCCCAAGGCCAACGAGAAAGTGAAAAATAGACCTGATTAGCTGTTGTGTGTAACCTGTACATGTGCGTATTAGCAGGTGTCACAGTTTTAATGAACCTCAGGTTGGCAAGCAGACATTTTTAAGGCAGAAGCACAAGCAGAGAAACTGGAAGAAATGGATCCAATTTTGGGCTGAACAGGAAAACTCTAACATGATCACCTCAACGTTTTGCCTGGATGTTCAAGGGCCAAAGGAAATTATTATACACCATCATTCCTATAGGATTAGTGGTATATATCTGATATATGTGTTAAGATATTTGTATTGGGACGGTGGCAGCTGCTTTATAAATAAATTAAAATTGTCTCAAAATATGTTTGATAATTTGTGCAAACAGAACAGTATGCAAACAGTTTCTATTGATTCATGATAAAAATTACTTGTAAAAAACTCAGTCCTGATGAATCACAAAGCTTTAGTCTGTTAATTACCAAATTTTTTTAAAACTGTGCAGTGGTGCAGAAAATTGATGACCAGATAGATTTTTTTTTTCCCTTAATAACAAACACCTTCATTTCAAAAAAGGATTTTGTTTTTACATGTGTTGTCTCTGGCAAATATTTAAATTGGTTTAATGTTCTGAAACACAAGCATGCAATTTTTCACACCACCGTAAATACTCACTGTAAATACAAGTGGAATATTTTAATCTAGTTTCATTACCTTCAAAACTGAATTCAAAGCCCTTATCTCCTTTTTTGGACAAATGTTTTTGGACCATTACTTGTCTCATGTTTGGAAGAAGACTAATAAAAGCCACTCTTTATGGAACATGAGTGGTCAGAAGTCAGTGGTAGTAAAGGGCAGGAAGTTTCATGACGTATTGTGAACAACTGTGACAGGCGAGCTGGGTAATTCCCTCGGGGCCTCAGACTCCTGATTTTCCCTTTGTGCACACTAACTTCTAGCCTCACATCCCAAACTCTCCCAACATTCAACTGAAGGAAATTCCATAAAAGAGTGGGTGTGGAAACATGGATCATAAAAGAATATAAATGCTAAACAAGATTTAGCATAAATATTTTCTGAGAAATTCATGTCACTTGTGTGTCTTCTTTGTCTTAATTTTTTGAGGTTATTCTTATTGCACAAACTTAAGGCATGCAAAAATGTCAAGCTTTGCTGAAAACCAGGCCATGGAAAATCAAAGTGAATTTACACTAAAATTACCCTATCCTTGGAAAGAAGCATGTTATGCTATATGAATTATGTACTAGGGAAGAAGCAGATTTTCTTAATGAAAGCAGCATCTTCCAGATTAGTCTGATTTTGCACTCTTTGTCAAGCCAACTTTGTTGGAAACATGAGATGCATTTTCACCAAACTACAAAAATAAAGTAGTAATAAGTTTATGCATAGAGAATGAATGTTTTGATATTTTATGTGTGTTCCTCGTGATGGACAAAGAAGCTACAGTCAATAAGACTGTAGCTACAATTGTAGTAAAAATTCAGCCAAAGAGCAACCAGAACAGTTCACAAATCAAACTAAACAGTCAGACACATGAATTTTGCTAAGATTTTATGTGATAATTCAACACTAAATAGCTTATAGTTGTTAATTTGAAGACAAATGACACATGACTTACAAATTTCAGATATAAACTATGAAAGTGCAACTTGCATAGAACTGCCTTGTAAAGGGGGTTGAATTAAAGCAGAATGTACTTTTCATATTTCAGAAATAATCTATTGTTTTCCTTTCCTTTCACAACTGTGCATTATACACACAAACTCCAACAAGTTGTTGTTGCAACTTGGTTAATTTAGAAATGGTTCAAAAGGGTCTGAAGACTAAAATGAACCAGCTTCTTTGACTTGCTTTTATTCATGTTTACTAGCTTTTCTCTAAAAAGCAGTGGTTGAAGGATTTGCCAATAAATATTGTTCTATAGCTTCCACAGCTACCTTGAGATACGTACAGTAATATAACCAAATATCAAACTATTTTTGCCAAAAGCAAAAGCTGTATCTTTCCATTTTTCTATAATTAGCATGGCCTTTGTTTCTCAGTGTGTGATGGGCTGAGTGAACTGAAGCAGAGCAGATTACAAACATCAGCCTGGGACCCACTTTGTGTCATCCCACTTTATTACGTCTGTGTAATCTAAACTGATCGCTGTCAGAGAGAAAGCAGGCCGCCAGTTTATCTGGCAGGCTGCAGTTGAGCGTGTAATATTTTCCACCTGGATAACCGTTTGCTCATGGAAACTTCCTCAGCTGCTTAAACCATGATAATTATCCCGCACTTCACCTGCCAGCAGTCTGGATCAACAAAACACTTTAACTGGTTGCTGCCATGGATTTCTACAACCGGCTGGCTGATATTTACCCAGCACTAATACGTTGTGGGACCGATCAGCTCTGCAGAATTGAATATGGTATTTTTTATTTGTAGATACAATTTTATGCAATATAAAATCCCTCTCAGAGGAAGACATATTTAAATGGGACAATGTGTGCAGTTGAAAGCAGAAGTTCACATTCACCAAGCAAAATCACATTTTTTTTCTTATTGTTTGAAGTCAAATCAGACAGAACTTCTCCTGTTTTAGGTTAGGTTAAATTATTTATATTTGCTAATTGCTAAAATAATGAGAGAAAGAAGATGTCACTGCTTTGTTAATCAATATCTTCAAAATCAGAAGTTCACATGCGTTTTCTCAGTATTTGTTAGCATTACCTTTGTACTGCATAACTCAGGTCAAATGTTTTGAGTTTCCTTCAAGCTTCTAACAATAGCTTGCTGGAGTTCTGACCCGTTCCTCCTGACAGAACTGCTGTAACTGGGTCAATCTCAGTAGAATTAAGATCAGGGGTTTGTGATGGCCGAAGCATTGACTCTGTTGTCTTCAAGTCACTTTGCAACCACTTTGGCTATATGCTTAGGTTAATTGTCCATTTGGACTCATTTAGACATGAGCCTTAACTTCCTGGTTGATGCCCTGTGATATTGCTTCAATAATTCTACATAATGTTCTTTCCACAGGATGTCATCTACTTCATGAAGTGCACCAGCTCCTCCTGCCATAAACTTCCATCAATTTGAACATTTCAGACCAAAACACACTCATTTCTGGGACAGAGAACCTGTCTCCTTCCTGACTGGGTGGACGTTCCTCCTTGTCTGTACTTGCATATAATTGTTTGAACAGATGAATGCAGCACATTTGAGCATCTAGAAATTGTTTCCTAGGATGAACAGCTAGCTTTCTGCAAACTGCTTCCCTTAAACAGTTTGCAGTTTAAAACTTTAAATCAATTTAGTTTGGATTAGCACATCCGCTGCCTCTGCTGTTACGTCATTTTTCGTGTTTCATGCATAAATTAGATACATCATACATTATTATTAATATCATTACTTCTATATTTGCGTGATCTCACTATAAATTGCGAGACAACCACAGCAATTTCACACAGTAAAAAACAGTATCATAGCTTTGCTTTGTTAGAGAAATAATTAACTTATTATTGTTTTGCTCTTACTTGTATTGGGTGCTATTTTTTCTTTCAATATAATACATTATATATTTTTGGAAGACGGATCTTTAAACTTACATAAATATATATATATATATATAGCTCACCATAACCAGGAGTTAGGGATGTAAGAGTTGGATGAACGTGTTAAAGAACTATTATTTTTCCACCAGATGGCACCACAGTTTCCGCTCTCCTTCCATGCTTCACCCTTCAGTTTCTCTAGTCAGGCTACAGTTATATCTCAGAAAACAATACATTTAATTAGCCAGAATATGATTCAGAAGTTCATTTATTTTATTATCTAAATTCAAGTGATAGTCATTTAGTGATGTACTTCACACCATGTTTTCTGTTAATACATACAGAGTTAGAGTGAAATACATACAACTTTTAGACACTGTTTTGCCAATTTTCTTCAAAGTTATTTATTTCTTGTTTATTAGGAGAAACCAAAAGCAAGCAAAAGGTAGGCAGCATCGCAGTGAAAATTAATTTCAATCAGAAATATAAGGAGACAAAACTCATAAAACTGGGGGGAAAACAGGAGAAGTTTAGAAAGATGAGGAAAGAAACATGTATGGTAACAACACACTGGCTGCTTCTCCATAGAATATTGCACAGTTCGATGTTTTGAAAATACATTTGCTAAATAAAAACTGAGAAATTTTGAAAAACGTGATTCTTGATTAGAAAAAAAAAGTTTTGACAATAGGATGAGGTAATTGTATCAAAATTGGTGGATTTCACAAAACTACAATGGAAATACTTTTTTCACATCATAAGAGCCACATGATCAGCAACCAGATGGTACAAACATGAAAAAGACAACATAAAATAATATATTATTTAATGGGAACACCAAAACTAAAAATAAAAGTTTTTTTAGTGACAAAGTTTTGGGCACATTTGTAAAAGAAATGCAGCAAGTGTGTGATATGACAGTAGAGCTCAGGAGAAACAGGTGAAACTGATTAAATGAATGTGGAACAGCTGCGGGGCAATAGAAACAGGAATGCTCTTACAAACACAACAAAACCACATAGCTGGGGTCTCGTTAGCTTCACTGCGGTTGTTGCTGCAGTTGCTGCTGCAGTTGCTGCTCCAGTTGCTGCTGCGGTTGCTGCTCCGGTTGTTGCTGCGGTTGCTGCTGCGGTTGTTGCTGCGCTTGCTGCTGCAGTTGCTGCTCTGGTTGCTGCTGCGGTTGCTGCTGCAGTTGCTGCTCTGGTTGCTGCTGCGGTTGCTGCTGCGGTTGCTGCTCTGGTTGCTGCTGCGGTTGCTGCTGTGTTCTCAGTGGGCAGAAGAACGGATGCCACAGCGCTTCTTCCAAAGTGATCCGCCTGCTGACGTCGTACTCTAACATGCAGCCCAGCAAGTCGAACAGCTGCTTCTCCTCCTCACTGTTTGTTCTCATGTATTGCTAAAATAAAAAATAACAAAGATTTTTTCTTCTTGTGGATTCAAAGCTGCAGACAGTCAGCTGATGTATTTAAAAAAAGCATTTACTGAGTTAGTTTAAGTTCTGAGTCCAGCCAAGAAATGAAGCCATACTTTTATAACAGTATGTTGTCTCTCACTGTAGGAATGTTTAAATGTTTGAAAGACATCATAGACTTCAGTTTATTTAAGACAGTCCAACCTGATTTCCAGTAAACCCAGACTATCACAGGTTGTTTTCAACATGTCTGCACCGACATTATCTACTTAAGTCTGATAAAGAGTGACATATTAATCAACCAATCAATCAATCAATCAATCAATCAATCAATCAATCAATCAATCAATCAATCAATCAATCAATCAATCAATCAATCAATCAATCAATCAATCAATCAAATCAATCAAATTTTATTTGTATTGCAAATTTCAAAAGCAAGGCACTTTAAAAGTGCCTTTTTTGAGAGGCACGTTTATATAGACATGTATATATTTATGTAAGGCACATCATAACATCATAACATAAACACAAAGCCATGCAACATAGAACCAACAATCAAAACATGACATTAAGTCAAATTCCATCATTAAATTCATAATTGATTAAGTTTCAAATGCAACTCTAAATAGTTGCATTTGTTTAGAGTTCTCAACAAATCTTTTTAGTTGAGATTTGAAGGAAGTCAGTGTTTCAGCTGTTTTGAAGTTTTCTGAAAGTTTGTTCCAGATTTGTGATCCATAAAAGCTGAATGCTGCTTCTCTTTGTTTGGTTCTGGTTCTGGTTCTGGTTCTGGGGATGCAGAGCAGAACTAGAACCAGAAGACCTGAGAGGTTCTGGCAGGTTGATACAACAAGAACAGACCTTTAAGGTATTGTGGTACAAAGCCGTTCAGTGATGCTATAAACTAACAACGTATACACATATTGAAAATAATCCCAGGATTTATTATTTCACAAAACTCTCTACTATCAACAGCGCTGATAGTACAGAACAGCAGCGTTCAAATGTTTTGCACTGCCAGCCAAAATTATCAAAATATTCAGGTGCCTAAAATTATTTGCATGATTAAAAACACACAAAAATTAGGTTATTTTATATTTTACCTCATTGGCAATAGATGAAAAATCTGACATTTTAATGAAGTAAAGTAGAAAAAAAATGTTCTTCAAAAACCATTAAGTTTGATGAATTTTTTAAAGTATAAAGTTGGTGGATGTTTGTAGCTCTACTTGCTTTGTTAAAAAGAAAACAAAAAAATATGACAAGCAAAGATTTTGCTGTCTGCTTTTTGAAACAATGATATTTATCTTGAAAGGTGCTACATAAGTAAGATTTTACTTACTTACTACGTTGTGTTGTACCTAACATTATCCATTTATTAAAATATTCATTGAAAATTTCTTCCTAGAACAATTACAAAAACTATCTACCTGTGTGTCGTATGTAACTGTAATAAAATAAAAAATACATCTATGTTTTACCATCAGAGGTTGGCAGTGTTTCCGGATATCATCTTCAGAGGAACTCGCATCATTCCAGTTCAAACGCTCATTTTTAACAAACTTCTTCTTCCTGCATGTCACACAAAAGTAGCTTGTAGTAATTCAACATCAGTAATAGACAGACATCAGATAGAATATGCACTGCCAGGGCTTTTATGCATCAGCTAGCATGACTACACCAAGAGAATAATGTTGGCTGGTCTTAGCAACTGTTAGAAAACAAGAGTTACAGACAATACAGTCCTTATTACATTTTGATTATATTTTTGATTACATTTTGATTATTGTTATATTGTTGAAATTTGAGCAATAAAACGTTATCATCTGCATAAAACAGCACAAACAATAGCTGCAAAAACTTTCAGCGATTTCCCAAAAAGATCTCAGAAAATCATTTTTAAACAGCTTTAGTCATATTTTGAACATTTAAAACACTTTTTGTCAGTGGGAGAAATGTTCAAATACAGCAGAAAACAATGACTGTCTCATGCTGGACAGGATGTCTACTGGACCTGGTCTGTTTCAGAAGACGGGGTGGAATTGGTCCCAGGACTCTCTCCATCATGGCCAGATGTTCTCTACAGTCATGACTCTGAAATAATACAAATAAATGTTTGAATAAATCATTGTACTGTTTTGAAGTATACCTGAGTTTGTGTGTTTGTGCTTCTTTACAGGGAACAGTGTTCGTCCGAGGTAATACTCGATGAGAACGCAGCCCAGACTCCACACATCACATGACTGGTTCCAGCCCAGATCTGAACACAAACACATTGTGTGATGTTTTTAAAAACACTCTTACCTGAAATAATTGAGTTTGTAATTCAGGATTTGCGTTGTAAGCGTACCCAGTATGACCTCTGGTGCTCTGTAGTGCCGTGTCGACACCAGACTCTCGTGGTGTTGGTGGTCAAAGGTAGCGGTGCCAAAATCCACAACCTTTATGTCAAGACTTCTTGGTTTTGTGTGCTTACAGTTCGGACACACACACACACACACCCACACACACACCCCCACACACACCCACACACCCACACACACACACGCAGACATAAATGTCACAGCCAGGTCAAACTTTACATGAATATCACAGTGTTTTTAGGGAACTCTTTACCGTCTGCTGGCTGTTCTCCGTGTCGCAGTCACAGCTGACGAACAGAATGTTCTCAGGCTTCAGGTCTGTGTGGGTCAGCCTGTTACGGTGCAGAACTGTGGAACAGAAACAAATAAAATGTGTGCATATATCCTAACTCAAATGTGCTGCAAAGTGATTTTTCATTCAAAAGATGAGAAATTTGTACATTTAACTCAGAACTGACATACAGAGGAGCATGTTTCTTGTGGGGATTAGAGGCAACAGCTTGGTTTTAAGACATTTATACTCCTACGCACTCTGAACATTTAGGATTTATTGTATTAATGTCATTTTGTTTGAAATTTTTAGCATTCAGTAAACATCAAAATAATGAAAGAAGAGATTCTGAAAACACTGAATCACAAATAGGCAGGGGTCTACTGTTGTGCCATTCCTTTAATTTCTTATACAGTACATGAGTCCTTTCATCCATTTGTCTTGTACAAAACAAAACCAAAAAAAAAAAAAAAACACAGCAAACAACTATCAATGCACAGACTCTCAACTAAAGACAATTTAAAGTTTTCAGTTGTCGGTCCTCTGAACGGTGGGAGGAAGCCAGACTGTCCAGAGATTCAAACGCAAGACCTTCTTGTTTCAAAGCAGGTGCAAACAACTGTGCCACAATTTATATAAAAAAAATTCTAAAATTTTAATTTGATTTAATGTATGTTTTATAGTTTTATCCACAGGCAAATATTGGTTAAAAATCTACATTTTGACAACAGCTTTAATTTAGATTCATGCTGCAGGAAGCGATGTGATTACATTCAGTCATGTCCACAACCATCAGCATACCAATTTTCAGGGTAAGAAGTTTACAGGATTCACCATGTGAACTTACAGCTGACTGCTCTGAAGATCTGGAAAGCTACGTGTCGGATCTGCTCCACACTGAAAGGGACGAAGTCGTTCTGTCGAAGGAAGTCGAAGGTGTTGGGACCGAGACGCTCCAGAACAATGCAGATGTGGGATTTATACTCAAACCAGTCCAACATCCTCACACAGGGGCTACCAGCACAGAGAAATACACCAGGACTTAACATACATTTATGACTGAAGGACTCAGTTGTCTAAAAGTCACTTCCTTAAATGCCTAGTTTGACTCTAAAACAGAAAATAAACCAACTGGTTCAAAGTAAGTTCCTCACAATCTGTTGTCGTCATCCAGGCTGTTGATCTCCTCAAGCACGGCGATCTCTGATTTCGCAACTTTACAGAAACTTTCAAACTTCTTCACAATTTTTACAGCCACACTCTGACCTCTGTGGAAAGTGTGCACATTCAAAATGACAGAAATATATAAGCGTTCATTTCTTCTGGTCTAAGCGAATGCGACTAAGTAAGACACGTTTGGATGATTAGCATTGAGCCCTGATCAGCATTGCATGCTTACCTGTATCTGTCAATACACTCCACTACTTTCCCAAAAGCTCCTTCTCCCAGCGTGGAAGAAATTTCATCTGGTAAGAACAACCAGAGAATTTTAGTTTATAATGTTTTTTTAAAGTTTCCATTTTAAGAGTCTCTCTTGAGCATGGCAAGCTGATATTTATCTTGTTGATTCAGTTTGTTTCTCCACAACAGCTATTATACACTCTATTCCTCTCCAATGCATGTCTATGTTATCCATTTATTTTGTGTAAGTTTATGTTTGCTTTTCATCATTTCTAATTCAAGTTTTCCTTCATGTATCTGAAAATCTTGAGGCATTTTACCCCAAATCATGATGCCATTAATGGACAGGATGCATCATGAGTGTATGAACTTGAACTTGTATTTCAAGTTCATACAGTCAGATTGAAACTACAAAAGAAATATTTCAAAAGTGAAAATCAGTGCGGTGTACATCGGTCTCCCAACACCAGGCCGATGTGATAGTCCAGGTTTCCGTCGTCATCGTTCTGTCTGGTCTCTCCTTGCTGAGTTTCCTTTGGTCCATCGTCTGCAGCAGTGGGACGGCTGTCATGGAAAGACGCCGATGCAAGTTGGATTGAGGTGTTTTTAGACTGTCGGGCAAATGTAGCAAGAAGGAAATTTATTAAAAGTCATCAAAGAGCAAAATTTAACCCCAAATGAAGTGGTTTATAACTTTTATTCAGTTAGTTATAGTTTAAAATGTATAAATGAAAAAGAAAAGCTACTGACTGTTATGAAAACAAGAATCCAGCTGTTGAGAAGCAATTTATATATTTTCCTTTAAAAATCAGTTAAACTAATCCATCAGTTACTTAGAAAATGAGACACCCTGGTGATACATCTCGTTATAAAGAGAAAAATGAAGCTATAATAGTTAGAAGTTCTAAAAACTATGAATGGCGCCTCCTCTCAGTCTTTCTGCATTTCTGACTCTTGATTTCAGATTGAAAAAACTTTACTTTACTGATTTGGAGATTTCCAGAATGGGCTGTTGTGTCCTCTTGAAGCTTCCAGACTTTGCTTCTGATTTAAACTTCCTCATGCCTACAAGAAGACAGAAGAGTCCTTTTTTTTTATTAAATACATTGGAAACAGTTACTGCGTTTTTAAGGCACACAGTTAAGCTCTTCTAGAGTTTTTTTTAGCACAAATTACAATAAATAATCCTGAGTCACTTCAATCTTCTTTGTTCAGGCGGGATTTTGCAGCTAAGTTGTCCATTTAAATCTGAGTTACATCACAAATAGTTGTGCCTCTGAAACACACATAAAAAATCAACTGTAAGACTAACTTTGAGACAGAAAATTTTTACCTCTCCAAGAATCGATGTTATCATTTTTTTCCCATAGCTCGTCTGTTCACACCCAGAACTTTGTCCCACTTTGTTCCTTTTCCAGCAGAACTTCAATAATACCTGAAAAATAGAAAGAAAACTTCACGTTTGTGTGATTAAATGACTTTGAAATCCTGAATCCCTTTCGAAAACGTCTGCATTGAGAAGGTTCTACTTGGGAAATTTAGAGAATTACTACAACAATAGGATTGCTATAATCCCTACAGCTAATAGTCATACAATTTAATATTGTATTTCTTCAAAAGTTTGTGCATTCGATTCCAGAATAGCATCTTCATGAATAAATATGTGTCAGTGTTAGATGTGCTGCTGTGGTGAGATTACAAGCCTTCAAACAGCTGATAATTCTCTTGTTTGTGCAGAACTGTTGGAGAATCTCTGACTCTCTCAGTGACTTCGGGAAATGACTTTTGTTTTTCTGACTGGAAACTCAGAAACATCGACGTCCAAGAACAGACATAATGCGATCTGTTGTCAATCTTACTACTTATATGTTACATATAAACGTCTGAGTTCACTTATCAGAACTTTGTTATTGTATCTGAGATGTAATTTATTAGATTATCACAATAATACAAAAACTAAACAAAGATCTACATTTATGTTGTAATTGACTGCCATATTCACTTGTTTTGTCATTTTTTTCTCATTTATTCTTTTTCTGCGCATATTTAAGCTTTCATTTTCTTATTTCACACTGAACATTTTCCATTCAGTTTAATTGCATCCTGTTAAATTAAAGTGAACTGGATGTGGCACATTGATTCATGGCGCTCTCTGGTCCATCACTGTTCCACCTGTCAAAGCTTCTAATGTATCTTCGTGCCATTAAAGCCTTCCTCCGTTCCTCTTCCACAAATAGCACACATGCCAGTCAGAGGGGAGGTTTCTTTCACCATGTTGTTTCTCTTCTGCTTTTCCTCACCTCCCTCACCTCCCCTGCATTATTTTTAAGTGCTTTTCTGACACCTTAACAGTTTTACTTTTAAACAGTTTTAAACTGCGCTGGCATATAGTAAAGTGTTCAAGACATGTTTTTGTTTTTTGTGTTTTTACTTTTTTGAGGTGCAGACCAGCTTTGCTTTTTATAGATGATAACGTGAAAGGAGGGTTGTGCATTCCCTGGAAAGGTTTGTCCTCCTCCCTCTCCTGGAAACGAATCTTAGTCTCCACGCCCTGGCCGGCCGGCAGGCCGGCAGCCGGGCCCGGCAGCCTCTCCTGTACTGTAAATCAGCAGCGAGGAAGACTCGGTCCTCCTGACAACACGTCAGATTTTTTGTCACTCACTTTAGATCCTCCAAGGCTCACGAGACAGCAGCCTGTGACAGGAGCTCGGTGTCACTCTGTTTACAGCTTGATGAGCAGAACAGGACTGCAGTTAAAAGTCTGACTGTCAACACCGGCAGCAGCAACTTTACAGGACAGAAACAATCCAGTCTGCTCTGTTTCTGCAGGTAAACAGTGTCACTCTTTACAGCTAGACAAAGTTTATATGAGAACAGCCCTCCACGCCCCAGGGGTGTCATCTTCCTAAAGTAATGGTCTTTGTCACTTCTTGACAAATAATGACTTGGACCATTATTTTAGGAAAGTGACAACGTATTATATTAGGATTTATGAGATGTGCCGACACATCATATAAAATGGAAAAGGAGTGATTCATAGTTTGCAATATTTCTCAAGATTAAAACTGTAGTTTGTAACTCAAAAAATAAAACCCATACTTATTAAATCTGTCTCTGTTCATGACAGTTTAATGAGAGAAAAGTTGATCAAAAGAGTAGAGATTCTCCACCGCCTCATGGTGCTTCTATCATCTGCAAAAGTGCACAGCTTCAGATTCACTTTTTTTTCACTTCATTTTTTTTCAGTTATAAAAGATTATAATTATTATTTTGAACAAATCGATGGTCTTAATTGAGCTCCATACTTAAGCACCCAGAAAGTGGATGTGCAGTTGCTTTCTGCCCCTTTTAACCTCACATCTCTAAATGAAATCCGATGCACCTCATAACCTCTTAACATCCTGAGGTCACATAAAGAGTCAACCTGCATACAATATAATCTCAATAGAAATCCATAAAACAGTCATCAAACATCATAATGACAACCAAACAGCACAGCAGAAGGCTCTGAAACAATGTACTGTTGAGGTTATGAAACAATATCTCAAGCTCAAGTTTTACTCTGTGGATGTGAATGTGTGGTGGAGCGAAGGCCCTAAAGAGTAGAAGAAGTCATTGCAATAAAAAGAGGGTTCCACAAGGAAGTGATGCTGTGAGACTGAATGCAAATTCATGGGACTCCTTTCTGATTTGTATGCATAAAGCATCTCATTTTCCTGCCATGTCATAAATCTGTGCTGCTTTGTGTTGCTATGTCTCATAAAATCCCACTTAGTGAAGTTTGTGGTTGGAACAAGGAAAAGGAATAAAATTTAGTGAGTGTAAATGTTTGATCTGTGTATCTGTGTTTTGTTTTTAGCTTTGAAAATCACAGCATTTTCATATTTGCTCTCTCTTGTTCATCACACTTCATGCATTGTTAAAAAAAATCATTTATTTCATTTTTGCTGGTTTTCATCAAAGATGAAAGCAATTGTACCAAAACAGCTTACATGCTAGTGCATAATGTAATAATTATTGTCAAAGCTCTTAATTGCTTTGCTAAGATTATTATACATTGTAGTTCATCAATGCTTCAGCTTTAAATTTGACTCAGATGGGATATTCTACCTCAGAGATTTCTTATTTTTTTCTTTAAACTCACATTCTGCTTCATGAATATTTTGTTTATTAAAACAAAAATAAATTTTCAAAGTGGCACTGAAACTAAAGAGAACTTTATGCAAGAGAAAAGAGCAAACATGTTAGAAATTCTTCACTGTGAGACAATGTCAAAATGAAAAGCAAAATAAACCAGTAATTGTGTGTATATATACACACACACACACACACACACACACACACACAATATATATATATATATATATATATATATATATATATATATATATATATATATATATATATATATATATATATATATATATATATATAGATATAGATATAGAGATAGATATAGAGATAGATATATATGGTTTTGTTTTGTTTTATAACATCTGAAGCTGAAACAGGTTTAGAAAACTCCTTAGCTTCATTCCATGTTAGTCTGTTCATCCATGTTATTGTTTCACAGGTCATTTGATATGGCTAAAATTAGAGTGTTTGACTTTTCAGGAATCATACCAACTCCACTGTGACGCACAAAAAAAAGTTTTGCCTCGATACCCGGCAGCTGTATTTGACTGGAACCTCACAAGAGTCTGAGCTGTGAAAGCCGATCGCTTTTCACAGCTCCAACAATTATCCCTGCTAATCTGACCGACGCTGTCAGTACCACATTTCCCTGCAATTAGTGACCGCCTTTGAAATATCAAGAAAGATCCAAGCACAGTATGTTATTGCTTACAGAAAATGATGTTTGTTACTGAAATGCAGCTTGAATTTCTGACTGTAGAGTTACAGGTTGTTTCCCCTGGTTTCCCATCAATGTTTGGCTTATGTAACTGTTAATAATTATGAATAGTAATGTATTACGTTCAAAATTACCAGTAAAGTTAAAGTCCTTATCATCTGGAGTAATTACCCAAACACTGCATAAACAACAACTTCTCTAAAGTTTTTGAATTTATTATTACAATACTTCAGCCTTCCAGTCAAAATACAACTTGTATTAGATAAAGTGAAATAATGAGGAATAACTCAGAGACTAATTAAGGTGTTGCTGAATGCTGAACGCAGTTTGATCACTGTGAGACAATTTCAGCAATAATAAGGCCAAACACAGGAAACGGACGTGTGAAAGCCTGTATTTGCTAGAAAAAGTTTGATAAATCCAACCTTTAGCTTAGCAGTGTAAAAAAAAAATCCCAAACCATAAAATATCACCAGTATTTTGGGTTCATTTACTTTGATAAATGAACCCAAGTGTCTGATGATCCAACTTAAATAAATGAGTTCATTTGTTACAAGTAATCAAATTAAATTTATCCAAGTAAATATGTTAAGTTTATTAAGTTGTCATGCTAAACAAATCTCAATAAAGTAAGCTTGACAAACTTCATTTGATTACATGTCACAAATTAACTCATTTTTTTAAAATTACGGCTAAATTCTCTTTTTGACACAGTTGGACTTTCTGTTCCCTGGGGTTCAAATATGACAACGCAAAGGTCGGTTTCTTAATGCATGCATCAAAATCAAAATTGAAAATACAAGTGAATGTGTAAAATGACTATGCACATAAAATCTGAAGAAAATAACATCCGTAAAGCTCAGAGTCAAAGATAAGCAGCAAATAGTGGGATCAGATATTCTCCAATTGTTCATTTTTTGTCAAAAGTTTGTGGCTCATGCCAGTTCATTATTACTGTGACAGAGTGTTAATATGACTCATATCTCAGTGAAGTTGAGCAATTTAAAAATAGATAGCCAAATTAAAAGACAATGAAGCCATTTCATCTGGAAGCACCACAGCATTGTTTCTGATTGAATACTGCAAAGATCCCTGGAAATATAAGAAAACCTTTCATTAATACCTTTGCATGATGAGACAATGCAATTTTTATGAACTTTTACAAACCAAATTTTGTAGACCTTTTAAAGGTCTACAAATATATAATCTGAA